TTGTATTTTATTTACTATAATTACTATAATTATTACTAATAAAAATAATTAATAATACATTTTATATTTACTATAAACAATATATAGTAAACTTTGTAAAGATGTAAAAATTGGAGATATTGTAAAATGGCCAATGAGATTATAAACAACTGCACGACATAAACGAAAATGCATTACAAAATCTTTTCCATATGATTTCGGACTACAGTTTCTACGTAATTGTTAACTTTAATATAATGAACATGTTGTATTAATGCTAATCGCAAGAATTATAGTATTTCATCATCTAAAAATTATAAACAAGAAGACAGAAATTTAATTATAATTATAATTATAATTATAATTATAATCAAATTATAATTATAATCAATTTAATAAATATGTTAACATATATTTAGTATATTTATTAATAGTAAATAGTAAATACTTTATTATTTAGCAATAGAGCGTTGATGTATATATACTATTTTTACATACTGTCATCATATAATAATATGAAACGGAGGTACTGGAGCTAGTAAAATTATTTCGTCATCGTATATATCCATTATTTCTTTCAGTTCTAATATTTTAGCAATATTTTCTCTAATATTTCCATACGCCATTTTAATAGTTTATGCACTTTGATGTTTGAGCTATTTCATACAAATAACTAAATAAATTAGTACACTTTTCATATTATTTATTAGAATTCAAGTGCGAAAAGTGCATGCAACACGAGCAAACCATGTTAGTTTTCGAATAATAGTTCGAAAAAATCGCGAGTAAGGAAAGGAGGGGAGCGGCGTTCTATGGATCGTGATTGTTTTTGTGTTTCCGGTTTTTCCGGCAAATGATAAAACTAGTTTTTTAAAAATTTCATCTATCGTTCCACACCCTGAATTTACTCATTTGTGTGTTTGCCAACGGCCGCTAGTTGCAATCTCCTGATTGGTGCTTTTTTAGTCCCCCCGGTTTCGTGGATGTCGTCTTTGAACGATTTCGGTGACCACTGCGTGTCTCACGTGCCAGAAATTCCAATTTTATTAGTAGGATGCTATAAATCTTTAGGCACTGACGGGACTGTCGCTTACAAAAAATTGTTATTTTCAGATGATTTGATAATAGGATATGTTCTGTATAGGATCTTGAGAGAAGTTCTGTGCATATTTTGAGAAACTCACGTTTCCGATAATAAAAGAGAAATTCTTTCTAGATCGTTCGAGGCATTTTTGTTTGCTGATTAGCAACCGTTTCTTTTTTTCTGAAAGAGAAGAATCGTGAAATCCGAACATAACAGCAACATATAATTATTTTTATGACATGGAAATTATTATAAGAAGATATCTTTTTTATATTAAAAACAGAAATCATAATTTAATACAATTTTTTCTTACAAAAATAATTAATATTCGATGTGACACACTGGGAACTTGTTATAATTTATTTAACAAAATAATGAAGCGTTATATTATATTTTGCATAAAAATTAATTGCAAGAAAGGACGATTAAAAAATAAGATTTTTTAATAAAATAATTTTTAGTAATAGTTTATAGTAACTAGGTAGAACTACAGCTAGGCATGTTATTATTAATTAATATTTACTTTTTAAATAGATTTGAACTTTTTATATTTTTATATATAAATAAAACTTTTGAAAACAAGTTCATTTTTTATATTATTTCATTCCTACTACTTGAATAATACCGCGCGCAAAGTATAAATGCTTTTGTTTGCATTCTTTGTACTTGCACTCTAGTAAACTTTCTAGTTAGTCTAAAGAGTGTAACAATTTATGTAATTATTTGAGATTTTAGCTCGAACAACAAAGTGCTGAATATTTAAAATAGCTGATCAAGATGATATAGACTGCATTTATGATATTCACTGCCAATATTGACTGAGTCCGTTCCAAAATATACTACAGTAAACTTTCGATGAATTCGTGCAAGCACGTGATGTCATAAATTATGTTGTCACTTCTTGCTTTCGTTACTGTAGCTGGCGAGATAAAGCAGTCGCAATAAAAAGATAGCGGCCATGAAACTTTTAAAGTTATGTTAAGTAACAGTGATGCGATTAGAGCACGAAATGATAAGAAAATAAATAATATTATTGTAATAATATATTATTATTATGATACAAAATGAATGATCTAACAAAGAATTGAATAACCAACAATTACTTTCATGAATATTATTAACTTGTACAATTAATAATTTGTATAAATAATGGATATCTAAAAAATAATAATTGTTAATAATAATGTTTATAAAAAAATGTTAAAATGTTTAAAATATTTGAGTGTTAAAATGTTTAAATGTTTTAAATGTTTCTTAAATGTTTAAAATCTTTTTTAAAATCGCTGTCTGTTAAAGAATTAACTATATTTATGTAATTCTTACGTGGTCGTGATATTAATATCTTTTTTAATACAAAATAATATATTTTCGTCTTCTCCATCTGTAATATCTGATTCGAATGAATCAAATAATTTTATTGATTCAATTAAAATAGTAGTCAGTGCCATAGTTACGTATGTATCTAGCCATTAAGTAACCATCATGGCAGTACTGCAAATATCGTTCCGCTATAGGCTGGAAAAAACAATGGAAGTAATTATAAAACACATCACCAGATTGCTTTATGACGTCATGTTCTCAGCACTGGCAGTGAATATCGGAATGCAGCCATATCAGAATTATTTAATAATTCTGACGATGAAAATTTACTTTTTCCTCCTTTAATAGTAGTTCTTTCTTTACTTGTACATCCACCGAAAAAACGAAATCGTAAGTATTAAATTTTACAAAAATCTATTTTTGAGATTTAACTATCTTACAATTTTTAAGAAATTAATTTAAACTTAATTTCAGGTAGTGGAATATTACATTTATTTGACTCTCCTGCGACGTCTTTTAGGATTTTAGGATAATTTTTTATATGTTGTCTATAAGGCGCTCCTTTTTTAATTGACTTTCAATTAAGTTATGCGTGAATAATTCGCTTTATTATATACTGAAGAAGACCACATTTAAGGTCGAAACGTTTGTTAAATTGTTTATTATTTTATCAGATTGTTATTGGTGTTATTTTGCTTATGTATATATTTTGATAATTTGAATACATCATTAGCCTTTTTTACCTAGCTTAGCTCATAGTTCAATTACTTATTCACTGATTTATTATTCTTCGAATCTTAATTATATCTAATTTATTTTAAAATAATATACAAAAATAAATAACATATTACTTAACTTTTATAGGATAAGAAATCACTATAGTAACTTTAAAACAGCATCATTTTTTAAGGCAAAAGATACAATTAAAATAAAATACAAATTAAAATAAATCTTAAGGAAAGATAATAGATTTAGGAAAGATATTAGATTTTAAAAATAGATAAATTAATGAAAAATTGATGGGTGGTGCCCAATTGCCCATATTGTCAATTGGCCAATTTAAAATAAAATTATTTGATTGGTTGATCCATTGGAAAATCCCTAAGCATCGGTCGCTTTAAGTGGCTGTGTCCAATTGTAATGTGGTCAAACAAAATGCTTCCAAAATTGATTGAATTAAGCCAATGGCACACGATGCTTTTTTTCTGCTAGTTTGCTAGCTGCATTCGCGTGCTTGCTGAGCTCTTGCCTTCGATTAGTATATTTTTTTAGATCTAAAAGAATATATCAATCAAAGACAAGCAAAATGTTAACAAAATGTCGGCAAACTGGCAACAGATTTAATTAGAAAATATTAGCAAATTTCATCTGAGATCTCATTCTGCTTACATTCTGTTGACAGAATCTGTTGACATTTTGTGCCAGCAGATTAGCAGCAGAAATCGAGCAGATTTTGCTTCAGTGCAGTCTGCCGTCAGATTGGCGGTAGAAGCCAGCAGCATCTGTGCAACACCATTTGATGGCAAGATCTGCTTGATTTCTGCTGCCAGTCTGCTGACACAGAATGTCAACATTCAATAAAATCAGTCAATAGAATGTAAGCAGAATGAGACCTCAGATGAAGTCAGTCTGCTAACATTTTCTGATTAAATCTGTTGTCAGTTTGTCGATGTTCTGCTAACATTTTGCTGACTGGGATCACTGTGAAAAAAAGACAAGAATATAAAAGCGTAGTTATGCAAACTTTTTTTATATTCGAATTCGTGATAATTCTAATCTGAAGAATTTATTTCATTCCGTGCCTTTTCTGCCCTTGCACGTTTGTTCTTTCTCATTAGTGCATGAGGTATGAAAAGTGCGATTGCACCTGTAAGTCTAACAGAAGACCTGTTCTTTTTGGCTGAACTGGTTGTACTAATTCACCGTTTAGCTTTCTTTTTTACACTGGAAAAAGAAAGATAAATTCTGAACTAGTGCAGCCAGTTAACTAAAAAGAACGGACCCAGAATTTATTAAGCCTTTTGGATCTAAAAAAATATACCAATCGAAGACAAGAATTCAACAAGCACGTCAATCCAGCTAACAAACCAGCAAGAAAAAAAGCATCGTGTGCCGCTGGCTTTATCATTCCGGTAACTCGAATGAAATAGTGTATACACTTAGTGCAAAAGTACGGAAAGTGCAAGCAACACGAACAAACCTGGTGTGATTGTGTCAAACAATACGATTTTCTTGATTGTGACGTAATATTAGAAAGATATTCTATTTACAATAAAATTTGTTTAAATGGGACTTATGATTCATTATTATATAAACATTCTGAAAATATGTTCGTCGATTTATGATACAATATAAATAATAAATACAATATAAATATTCAATACATTTCAATACATACAATTCATTACATTTTTTCCAGAGAGTTACTGCTCATGCGGATAATAATAGAATAGTTCAAAACTGAATATAATTGAGTTGAATTACATATAAAAGAGGTGAAATTGATATAAATTATAAAATATTTTATCACAAGTTATCCAAATTTAAGTAATTAAAAACACGAACTTCCAGATTATCGGCTTTTAATAGCGTTTCGTTAACGTCGTTATTGCGTAATAAGAATCAAGTGATTTGAGCGAAGCTAATATGAATTACAAATCACTAGCTGTGCACAATGCCGCTTGTAATGGGATATTTCACCGGTTTCAGGACTGCGAGAAGGAGGTAACGAAATGCCACTTGAGAATCTCGCTATATATCTTCTGAACGATTCTGTGCTTCCAGCATCCGTACCGAAGATTTTTGGGTTACTGTGAACACATCCAGCGAGAAATGAACGCATGCATTAAGGAACAAGTAAGTTGTTTTCAATTTTCGTCTTATGCGAATTAATTTCCAACTGATTTTGTTTATTACAGAGAGAAATCCGCAGAAGGGAAAATTCGAAATTGCTACGTGAGAGATTAGGGATGAAAAAACCGACACAGCAAGAAAATAGCAGTTAATGTTACGTAATCATCTGGTTGGAAATTCGTCACTTTGATAAGGAAAAAGTAGCGGTAAATTGTGTAATTTGGTTATTGGAGAGTCACATATTAGTACCTATTTTTGTACTATTGTGTTGCTTGTGATATATTGTGATATATTGTAAGCTATTGATTCAAATAGTGTATATAATAAACTACGACATTGGAACTAAACATGAATCTGATGTCAGAGGTTGACAAATCAGAAAACAAACGATTGAAATTGGAAAATGATTACGAAAAGAAATTATGCAACCAGAAGAAAGAAGATAATGTTCAAGAAAATATATCTGAAGATGTTTCTGATACAAGAGAAATATCTTCTCGACGAGAACAGAAAATATGTGACAGATTAGTGGATAGTGATACCGATGCATCAGCGATTGTTGAGAGTGATGCTGACAAATTGTTTACATTTCCTCCAGATGAAAATATCTCTGATATGTTAGATGAAGTAGAGTACAGTGGTCATTTTCCTACTGTCACAGATCGCTATTTTACTCCTTATTACAAAATGAATGTGCAATCACATGGAGATGATATGTGCATATGGATTCATAGTAATCGTATTTGTATGCTATCGCTAGCACCTAGTCACATCATTCTACAAGGCAATAAAGATATAATAAAGGTTGACTTTAAGGTTAGCGATAAATTAGATAGATCTCTCAACAAAGTCTCAGGAAAGAGTAAACACGGTGCACAACCATTACAAACTAATTCAAACATTTGTACTATATCATGCTCAAATAAGGAAACATATGTCATCAAGTGTTGTATGATAGGAAAGTTAGTGGAAGTTAATGAAACATTGTCGAAATATCCACATCTTCTCAAAGAGTCGCCACATAAAGGTGGATATTTGGCTATAATATTACCAAACATAAAGCTTTTAGAAAATTTGAAACAAGTTCTGCTAACCCATAATCAATATATCAACCTTCTTAAAGAACAGGAAAAACTATAGCAGCATATGAGAAAAAAAAAGTTTAAATCTACAAGCAAAAGACTAGAAGACTTAGTTGAGAATAATTATATGGTTGAAATGAATAATTAATACAAAAACCAGAATTGGAAATCATTAAGGCTCTTGAGTACACTGCTAAGAATTCAGCGTTGGCACACCATTACAGTAAAAATTAGCTCAGTAATTCTTGTTTATCTTTATATTAAGTGACGTGCAAATTTTTTATTGCAATTAATTTCGTTATTATGTACTTAATGCGGATGCGACTTGTTTCGTATTTAGTAAATTCATAAAAATGGACAACAGCTGAAGTTATCTTTGAATTTTATATGTAAAGACATATTTTTCATTTCTTTCAACAGTTGTCGAATCGTGTGTTTCTGCTTGAACAGATTTCATTTTACGCGCCTTTTATTAACTATAAATTAATTGCTATAAATAAACTTTACTGTCATTTCTCACATATGACGTCACAATTCCTATATGCTGTGATGATTACTAAGGTGCCTTCAGGTTTCTGAGTAGTACCACGGCCATATTGGAATCGTGACGTCATAAGCGAGAAACGACACGTAAAAGTTTGCTATACTTTTTCTGCAAATAAATAGATGTTGCAATAAAATAACATCTGAGATGGCTTTAAGATACTTGTAAAAACCGAACGCTACAATCTTTTTCCCTCCTGACAATCAATAAATAGTCGTAAAAGGCACAATGAAGTCTATTTCGGCAGAAAATACACGATTTGACAGCTGTTGAAAGAAATGAAAAGTACACTTTCACATATAAAATCGAAAGATAACTTTTGTAGTGTTCGGTTTTTACGAACTTGATAAGTACGAAACAACTCACGTTTTCATGATTAAGCACAAAATAATGTAATAAAGTGTAGCGTAAAATTTCGTTGCCGCACGTCACTTATATAAAGATGAACAAAGATGAGGTGAATAAGGAATGAGCTTCTATTTTTCACTACGGCAATACATCGCTATCGTCAACGCGGAATTCTTAGCTGAGTACTCAGGAGCCTTAACAGTGAATAAATTTCGAATAAATTTGATTTTTTATTCCTACATTTCATAAGATGTTAATTTATTTATGAATAAAAAGAAGTTTCATAATATATAAGGTATATTTACTATCTAATAACAATCTTACAATTATTTTTGAACATCAATTCTATTCTGCTCTTAGGAACTATTATTTCTGACTTCAAAAGATAAACATGATTTAACTATATTATATTATTAATATTCATATTACAGTATATACCAAAATATAGATTCAACAATGCAAGCAGTATGAGATATTATCTATATTTGAGATGATACATCTAAAAATTTTAACACATGGCATTTGAATTGAATAATTTTACTAGTATTTTTAGTTTCATATAACTTAATTTAAAGATGCTAGATTAAAATTCTTAATTATAAATCTTCCCTGTTTTTGGTTTCATTTAGTGTTATACTTTGGTAATTTGTTTCTTCTTTATTTTCTTTTTCCGCAAGTGCCTTCATCAAATTTCCTAATATGATACCAGTAAACAGTATCATGCCTACTCTGTGATTGGATATAAATTTCTTGGCACAATCCGTAGGATTATTAATGTTTAAAGTATATATCTGAAAGAAACGAATTACTTTATCTAAATACAATTATTTGACATCAGTAATAATTTACCTGATTGGTAATATGCGTTGCAATTAATCCAACGGCGATATAATAAGGCCACGTTTGAGTGATTAATATACCAGAGGTAATTAAACTCGAGATCATTACTATTCCGAACCCAGATAAATAAAATTTCGTGTCTTTCCCGAACTTTATAGCGGTTGACTTCATACCTAACAGAATGTCATCCATTCTATCCTGATATCGCATAAAAAGAGATTCATGGACAAAATAAGAATAAAAATTATTACATTTCTGCTATACTTACTTGATGAGCATATATCGTATCATACAGAATAGTCCAACAAATACCAGCTACATAGAGTGGCAGACAGATAGACCAATCGCATGATCCATGTATAGCCGACCATCCTAATAATGCACCCCAATTAAAAGTCATTCCCAAAATTAATTGTGGCCAGTACGTTATTCTTTTCATAAGAGGATAAATTATTACTAGACCTAAAAAGGAAATATGAGATATATTTAAAATTTTTAAATATTTGTATATAAAGTATATAATTATACATCTCTAGTATGTTATACAATACCTAATGAACTAGCACCAAGGAATACGCTGTACCAATTTAGTTGTAACAGTATAAACAATCCCAGACTTAATTGTCCAGCTAGAAACATTAATGACTGTTGCGGCGTTATTTGACCAGTTACTAGAGGTCTATCTTTCGTTCTGGCTACCTAAGATAATAAACTTTTTATTGTAATATCTAAGATATGAAATTAAAATATATTATAAAGAATTTTACCTTGTTATCAATGTCCCGATCCCACATATCGTTTATGGTACATCCTGCACCACGCATTATGAATGCACCTGTACCAAAAAGTGCTAACATATGGAAATCTGGTAAGGCACCAGCGGGAGCTGCCATGGCAATACTCCATCCACAAGGCCAAAATAGCAGCCAGCTTCCTGAGCAGAAATTAGAATATATGTATATATGTATACATACATATGTGTGTGTTCTCGTTAATTATAAATTATTCTAATCAGATCAAACCTATTGGTTTGTCTATCCTCATAAGCTTCATGTATGGTTGTACTTTGGGTGAGGCATTATTGACTAGCTTTGCAGCAATACTCAAGTATCTCCTCTGCTGTAAATCTGTTAACTTGATACAAGTCAATATATTTTTCATTCTTGAAGAAGAAAAAGTAGTCCTATGTATATTGTGATTTGCTTCATATTTATATTTAGTTTGAACTATAGAAGAAGAACCTGTATGAATTTCTATACATGATCTAAAATTTACAGCTGTACAACTCAATAACTTAAGACTGGAATATATATCACGTGAGAGCAAACTGACAACTCCAGTGAGTCCATGGCATTTTCTTGCAATTAACATTGTTTGATACTTCGTCTGCAACAATATCATAAACTTAAATTATAAATAGTTATTAATTAATCGATATAAATGAAACGAAGATCCATATTATCCATATATCAAACTAAATTATATTTCTGTTACATGATTTTATAAAAAATTTTTCAACATAATAAAACAAATATAAATTTTATCTGTTAAGAAAATAAGCATAAAACACTCTTCCAAAAAATGAACTGTCTGTTACATATGATTTCGCAGTAATGCTATGCAAACTTATGTTCAAATTGATTTATATCTATTTTTATAAATATAAATTAATTTTAATTTAAGTTTAACCTTTTATCTTTTATTTTTTAAATTTTAATTTTAAGAATTTAAAAAAAGTAAGAAAAAATTAAAATTAAGATTAAATCTAATGTATACTTATCTATACTGATAAAAGTAAACATTAACATTAATATGAACAATCATTGTTCAATAATCAAGAAATATTCATTTGTAAAATATTTGTCGAACATTAGTCTTTATTATTCGACGAATAATAAAATTTCGTTGAATACAGACACATGGTTATCGGAGGTTACATATTATGTAAGGAAAAATAAGCTAATACGTATGTTTCAATTATTAGAAAGTGTGTTTCAAATAACTATTTTAAGAACATACCAGCTTTAATGTTCAGCAATACAATCCACTAATGTTATCATTTTTGATATCTCAATCACTTCGACGTGTTACGAACTTCGATCCTCGCGCTAATTCATGACAAAGCTGTTCCGATGTTTACTATAGTACTGAAAAATTATAATATATGTGACACAAACTATATATTTCAATCTCTGCCAGTGAATATCGGAAAACAGCCAAAATGTAAAAAAATATCACAGTGTGCATTGATGCACATGCGCGTGAAAAATATTATAGATCACGTGATCGAACTTTCAGGCTTGTACTGTAATGCTGGCTAAAGGGTATTTGAAGAATCCATACAAATTTTATTTTTATTGTTATTATTGTTATTATTGTTTATGTATCTTAACATTTATATATTAAAAATATAAGCATATATGTATACAGTTAATATATTATACATTAATATGATACATCTAATTTGATATTAATTTTTTATTTTATATGTATTTCATAAATTATTTATACTTATAAATACTTATGTCCACTTTTATAAATAAAGATTGACTTTAGTTTTTATCTTTTGTTATTTCTAAGAATTATAAAAAGATAAAAAACAAATTAAGCCAACAATAAAATAAAATAAAATAAATTAAATTGATAAAAATAACATTTTAGAGACATTTAGAAAAAATTTAGAGAAATATTTCACGAATTCTATATTTATGAAATATTTATAATAACATATATAATTATTTATTACAATATTGGCATATTAAATTAATCATTATTATATATTTATATATTTTATTAATATTATTATTCAAGTTAGCTGCATAGCTCAATAGAATAAATATATATAATTAAGTTAAAATCTACTATCCATACTACTATCCAAATTTACTTGTGTCCGTCAAATTGATGAATTGTTTATTTCATAAAAAAATTTCTTACTGTTATTTCTACTATTTCTTTTACTTTCTTATTATTTCTATTATTATTTTACCATTTCGTATTCTTTTTATTACATAATATTTCTCATTACAATAAAATATGTATGCTACTGAGCATCTGCTAGTTTACTGTATACGTGTAAGCATTCTTTGCACTCGTACACGTGTATAATGCACACAAGAGCTGTGTTCGTAAATTCACTGCCAGTACTGAAAACATATAGTCTACGTGACATATTCTATAGATTTTTATAGATTTTCAGTACTGGCAGTGAATTTACGAACACAGCCAAGGTTGCGTATCACGTATTTTCTTTTACTCCCTCAATATCTAGTCTTTTATAAATTTTGTCTCTCGCACGTGTGCTTTAATACGAATAATCGACAAAATTTTTTATGAAATAAACATTCCAATCATGATGCATAAATATTTAAATACGACTTGCCTTAACACGCAAAAATCGATGGAAGTTCACGCGATAATACATTCGTTATGATTGTACGTGTAATGCGGACAAACGAAAAGAAAAAAGTGATCTATTTTGGACATAAAAAAGTCAAAAAAGAAATAGAAAAAACGCCGGGACTCGACGGACGATTCGGTCATTTCCTGTGTTTCCGGCCACACGTGCCTTTTAAAAATGGCGCCAGCGTGAATGCCGCGTGTCGCGGTGCAGTCAAATTAATGAACGTGTATGTGTATACGTACATAGAGGTGGCACATTTCCGTCTATGTTACAGGCTCTCGCGGCCGGTGCGCGACGTTGTATCCGCGCGATGTCCGCCGTCACGACGCAGAAGCCAGAGGTAGTGTTCATCCTGGGTGGCCCGGGTGCCGGAAAGGGCACACTCTGCCACTACATCGTCAAGCATTACGGTTATGCCCATTTGTCGGCCGGCGATTTGTTGCGCGAGGAACGCGCCAAGCCCGGCTCGGAGTATGGCGAGCTCATTGAGACGCATATCAGGAATGGTACGATCGTCCCCGTAGAGATCACCTGCAGTCTCCTCGACCGCGCCATGCAGACCTCAGATAATCCGCATCACCGTTTTCTTATTGACGGCTTCCCCAGGAATCAGAATAACATTGACGGTTGGAACAAGGTATCGCCCTGTCTTATTACATCTTGACTATTTTGAGCCTCTGTTTCTTGTTGCATTTAATAAAATCTGGGATTTTCGATAAATTACTATTAGAGATCATTTCCTCTGATTGAAATGCATATCCTATATTCGTAATCAGAAAATTGATTGACAGAATGACATTGTATTTATAAAGAATAGATATGTGCATATATCTAATCTTCATAACTGAACTAATAGTGTCCATTTCTATTTAAAATGGAATAGATATATATTTGACATTTTAGGAAAATGAGAAAGAAAGTTTTAGTCCTTTACAGTTGCAATTCAGTAATAAGGAATAGATATTTTATAATATCTTATTATTGAATTGCAACCATAAAGGACCTCATAAATATTTTAGCTTGTACATAAAAAGCGATAATTTTAAAACTCATGATTATGTGATTGATTTGCTCACTTTTACTATCTATACTACCTATGTCTTTATGTGTCATTAGCTTCAATAGAAGTAAGATATTAAGAGAATGTACCAGTGTCGAAATAAATCAATGTAATTCAGATATATAATACATACATTTAGAATAGTTTAATCCTAGTTTGTTAAATTATTATCATCTATATCGTCTTAACTTTAGAACTTATCATTTAAAGCTTTGCACAATGATATTAGAACTGTGATAACTGTATATATATATATATATATGTTTTTTAAAGACTCTTTCTCTGATAATCAACTGGATATTGTATCTTGTATATGTTGAGTTATATCTTTTCTTTTTATGTCAATGACAGATGATGTCCAATAAAGTTATCCTGAAGGGCGTAATATTTTGCGAATGCAGTCAGGAAGTTTGTACTCAACGTTGTCTGAATCGTGGTGCCAGTGGGAGTGGTCGCAGTGACGATAATGAGCAATCTTTGGTCTTCCGTCATCAAACTTACCTGAAACATACCTTACCGATAATAGAGTTATATGAGAAGCAGGGTTTAGTTTATAAAGTTAATTCTATGAAAACACCAGAGGAAGTGTTTCAAGATGTTGCAGAATTCTTTCCTAAGATAGGATGGTAATAACAATAGTTCTAATGATCACTTTTTAACAGTACATTATTGATGGACATTTTTTTATTTTTCTTTTGTAGCGTAGATATTTTCAGACATCACTATTTTACAAGGTTTTTTCATTTTGTATAAAATATAACTTTTATCATGTATGATGTATTTCGAATTCATAAAACACATTGCAACTTATATATTAATTAAATATTTCTTTATAGATATACAATAATTGCAGTGCGAATGATAAAAAATGCTGTAAATATTCTGTCGGAATTGTTAATTGCGATCAGTAATGTAAATTTTTTGATATGACGAAGTATACATAGTGCAAGCGTTGAAATATATGGCTTATATATTTATAGAAAATTTAGTAATCCTGTAATCCTGTAATAGATAAATTTAGTAATCCTGTAATAATTGAATAAAAATTTGATAATCATTAGAAAAAATATTGTATTAACGCGAGAAGATAAAATACAGAAAAATGTACATTACGTATTTTTAATTTACATGTGTAAAAAAATATTAATAAAATTAATGTGTCAAAATGTTTTATTTCAAATTTTTTGTCTTCCTATATTAATTCTAAAACGCACTTGATAATGCTTCATATAAACATAAGATAATAAGAATAATATAAATATAATTATTATCACAATATTTTGGGAGAAAATATAAATTCTTTTATAGCGGTTTTCAATATTAATTTTATATGAAGAAATATCAAAGAAACTTGACTATTAACAATGTAAATGATCAATTTTTTCATCCATCAAAAATATCTTTAAAATCAAAATAATATTGTACAGTAATGTTAATTATACCAAAACGCTCGTACAATATTTTTTTACACATTTTAATCTCCAAAATTCTTACCGCTTCCTTTCCCCGTGCACTCAGGGAATAAATGAACTTGAACTTGTTTATGAAATTTTTTTTATTAAGTTTTTTATCATGACAAAAATATATTCAAAGCAATATCGAAGATGAAAAATACTTGAAAGAATCGATCATGATATGTGAAGGTGATGGACAGGCGACAATACCCTCTTATCACTACTCAAAGAGTGACTTTGATGTAACTCATTCAATGTAAACGATAACGAATGAAACAATTATCAGGATTGAGATTATACTTATAATTTTTCTTAAACTTCACAAATATAACGTAATATTTCATGTATACAACGATTGTATCATCACGACACTATCATATCGATATCGACACTATCATCTTACGGCTGTAGTGTCCATCGTTGGGTAAGACTGCTTTTTCGATGTGGGCCTTACGAAAGTTTGTTCACGTTACATTTTTCAACTACAGCGTCGAGAAAGTTGAGTGCTGGTCAATGTCCCGATGAGCAATCGCGTATTACGTAGAAGGGACTACATTTACAGTAGCCGGGGGCGAATTTTTTCATGAAACGATGCCGGTAGAAATTCGTACGGCGCGGCGTGGCATACACGAGAAATTCCACAGAGCCCAACAGACAGCGCTTAAAGACTCTATGTGCTTTTCGCAATCGATAAGATACGTATGAATATTCAAAATCGTTTTAAAAAGTTTTAATTGGCCTATTTTCAAATCATACTTATTTATTTAACTGTATGCATGTATAATAAAAATAATGCTATTTTAGCATTTTTTATTATCAGTAATTCTAAACTTACAAAACGAAGTTCATTGTACGTCCATTATATAAGATGATATAATGATGTAATAACAATGACGTAATAACATTATGAAAAAAAAAAACGATTTTGCTGGACTATTCAAAAATTAGGCTAGATACAAATTTGAGAATAATTTTGTTGAGTGATCAAAATAATTGTGTTTCAATTGATTGTTAAAATATCAAAAGTTTTTATAGTTTTAGCCTTGTGCTTAAAAATCTCAGATTATTTTAATAATCCAACAAAATTATTTTCAGATCTGTATGTCTAAAGCTAAATTTTTTTTAGAAAAATGATTCTTTCCATAAATAATAGAATGTTATTTTCTATTTCTTGAATTTTTAACAAAATTATTATTTGGATTAAATGTGTATATATGTAATTAATTTATCTTTTAAATTTATTTTATATTTTATACAGGAAGAACAATTTTGCTGAAGAATATAAAAATTTGGCCAGATACAAATCTGAAAATAATTATTTAAACTATGTAAATAATTATATAGAGCGTTCAAATTAATTGCTAGAATATTAAAAATTTTTGCAATATTATTATTATTATGCTTGAGTATCCTACATAATTATTTTGTTCTAAAAATTTATTTTCAGATATACATAACATAAAAAAATAAAAGATTAAAAAATTATATAGATTAGAAAATATAGATATAGATTTAAAAATTTATATAGATTAAAGACATTTAAAAAAAATCATTTCTTCCACATAATTAATATGCAAATTATTTATTAGCAAGAATTTAAACAAATTCAATTATCATTCCACTTGGTAGATTGTCGTCGTAGATTTCTATAAATGTGTCGTATAGCGTTCGAATCTTGAATGACATATCACTAAAAAAATGCACGACACAAAAAGAAAAAAACAAATCTCGGAAAGAAACAACGCAACGCAACATGGTTTAAATTGGATAATCCTCAAAAAATGTTACTTGTACAACTTGTATCAGCGATATGCACCAGTCTCTTTGTATCTATCGATTATCGTATTCAACATTGGCCTTGACCTAAACATGTGCATGTTTAGCGTAAACGAATGAGATTAAAGAATCTTTAGTCAAGCTGAATGCACAGCTGCTGCCTTCTGCGTATAACTTCGATGAATATGCGCCCGTTTCAGATCTATAAAACAGCGATTAATAAAACGAATGAATCGAAGCAAGGCCACGACTATAGTCTCGCGGGATGAACAGCGTTATTCCTTCTTCTCGTTCGAAACTTCATAGATTATCTTCTTATTAGCGCTTCGTCGACGTTCCTTCACGACACGCAAATCCCTTGATTGGATTTCTAACGATTCTCCAACAAAATTTTGACGTGACTTCTACAAGAGTCATTTTTTAAATCGGTTACTTCTTGAGCGCGTGTTCATCAACGAGCTTTCCAAGTTTGAATTTCTCATAAATTCCAGGTCTTGCCTCACGGCATTCTGACCCGCAGGCGATATAAAACGCCTTTCTTTTAACCTTTCGTCGATGAATAATCAGAAGGTGATTGGCATATCGGGAATCCACGAGACGAGGAGGCGTGCATCGAAAACGATTGAAGTTTAATGACCTGAGTTGGATTATTTCAATGCTCGCGTCACGTTGCATTCGTGGGACCACTCGCGCCAGAATCCGCCATTTTCAGTCAGGAAAAGCTAATAGCAAATCCTATGTAAGAAGTAACCGCTATTCACAATCAGACAAATAAATTTATATTGATAAAACTCGTGATCAAATCATGAATAGATTCGAGTATTGACCTACAATTTTGAAAAGTTTTATTTTTCCTCCTACATAAAAAATTAGATAAAATTAAACGATAAAAAAATTTTCTTACTTTTCAACAATATATGAAATAAAAGAAAGTTCTCTTGTCATAAGTATTGGCATTATTCATATCTATAGTCTTTTTTAAAGGACAAAAGAAGAGATAATAGAAAATGATACAGAAGACAATAGAAGATAATTAATTTCATCGCATTTCATATTCATTTCATTTCATATTTTTATTTTGTTTCTTATTGTCCTTTACATACAATTCTACACGGAAAGAATGATTTTATTGAAATATCCTAACCTATAGGTACAGATCTGAAAGTAATTTTTTTAGATCATCAAAATATTTATTTAGGAAGATTAAATATAATAATAATATTGGCAAAATTTTTTATATTCTAATACCTCATTTGAATGTCCTATATAATTATTTTAATAACTCAACAAAATTATTTCCAGATCTTATACTTGGCGAAATTTTTAGATGTTTTAATAAAAGTATTCCTTTTGTGAATATTGCTTCATTTTATTTTATTTTATTTTATATGATTAAAACAACTTGGAAGGATTATGATTTTCAAATTTAACAAATATATCGAGTCAGTATTAATGTCAGTTTATGTGATCAGGATAATAAAGCACGTTATGCATTCTATTGCCTGGGATTCGCAGCAACTGCACTTCAAGATGAACTATTTGTGACCACTCAACATTTATAAATTTTCTTAGATTTTCTTTCGTCATTTCGTCGAATTTCTGGCCAGTCGTCACCGTCATCGTTGTCATCAAACCGAGTGTTCTTCCCACTCTCTGGCAGCGACGGACGTGGCGGAAGCGGCGGCGGCGGCGGCGGTGGCGGCGGCGGCAACGACGACGTTTCTCTCCGCGGACGCGTAATCCTCGCTTACATCGATAAGAGAAGACCCGAGATGGCCACGGCAATTGAAGGAGCAATGGAATGCCTCTTTTACCCCCTCTTTCTTACCCCGTTCGTTCAATATATAAGTGAACCAGCGCGCCGGAACGTGTACCACAGTCAGTCGGCGTTTCGTGTTTTGTGTGTTTCTTTCATTTTGTTTTAACGGCGGCTGTGTGGCCTCTCGTTCGCACGTGCCCGCGAGAACACGTGGCGCGAGAAACACATGCTCCTCCGGGAACGCGAGGCGACGCGACGCGCGCCCCTTTCAAGCGCCACGGCCACGCGATTCGCGTGCGAGAGGAGCCCGTGCGAGAACCTATCATTTTCAATTCCGCCTTTCCCCAATAAAATTCTCATATCAGAAACACCGCCGTAAATATCGTAGGAGGCTAAATTAGCGCGAGACAATTACAGAATTACAGAATATTTAAAATTAAAGATACCGAGGATTGTCTGATCGTTAATTCGCGGAGCAGATTGATGAGGAACATCGTTACACGTCGATTACACATCCCGTTTTTCTGAGCGTGCCTAATCGCGACAGATTTTTCACGTGGAGGTAATTAAAAAAAAGAAGACAAAGACAGAAGTGATTAGAAAACTTTGTATCAGTATTCAAGAAGAATTAGAAAGAAAGATGAAGTCAATCAGATCTGATTGGCGGGTGAGTCTCCTGGTATTGCTAACGGTGACGGTGGCTGCCGGAACGAGACCTGAAACTGTCCTTAGAGACGTTCTCGCGAGGCCTTTTGTTCCACGAGAAAATGCATCTCCAGAATGTCTCCATGACAGCAAAATCTATCTTAAATCATTAGAAACTTACACACCCTGGGCACTCAAAAGTGAGTAAAATGAATCGAGAAATCTTTTTTAAGAGAGATTACATATAATCTCTTGAATTCTTTATGTTTATACCTAATTTATTTTGACACATTTACCTTATCCTTTGTTTTTATTCTATACTTTTTATATTTATTTGTTGATTTATTGAATAAATAACAAATAATGGATAATCAGTTTGAAATTAACGTATAATTTCTGTTACAGTTACATGTTTTCCTATTTCCAATTGTTAAAATATTCGGTAATCTTTAAGATAAATATAAAAAATTCATAGACTTAAAAATTTTCTTATTTATGAAAAACTTTAAATAATTTGTTGCATAAATTCCTTTTATTTCTTAGTATATTTATTTTTATTTTTTTCATTCAAAATTTCTTTATTTAATTGCTAATAATAAAATAAATTGATTATAATAAATATTGTTACAATCAAATTTCTTTTATTATTATCAATTAAACAAAGAAATTTTGAATAATTTTTCTAAAAAAAAATAAAAGATAAATCAATGAACAATAAACAATTAAAACTTATACCTAATTAGGATTTGTTGAATTCCAATGAAGCAGATTGAATCTCAATTTAATGAATGAATCAGAAGACATGCATTTTCAGAGCTTTAATTAATATTTTTAATTAATACTTACTTGTAATGTTATATTTAACTTATCAAAGTGATTCTCGTTTGAATCGTAAAATTAAGTAATCGTCTTTAGTAAAACATCCGAAACAAATTTACACATAATTTGTAATAATTGCAGCTTCTTTATCTTTCAATGTGACTAACTCGGGCTCTAGTGGGGGAAGGGGGACAGCGAGGGGGAAAACATTATATAATCTTTTAGGTATTGTTTTGTCTGTTACACGCCGCGTGAAATCACAAAGCGATTGCGATTTTACGTTTAAACATTAAGTAATTATCGGACATTGCACGCTGCGCGCAATTATCAAGGAAGATTATCGGGCATGTAACATTGCGTATGCGATATCACACCAGTATACGTGGAATGCATATCGTCAATTACTAGATATCGATCTTTCCGGCCGTTTTGCCGCAGATAATGGTGACTGATCAGAAAGATCGATCAATGTGATAAATATTTCTTCTTTTTTTTTCCACGATACGGTGAGTTCAACGTACTCGCACGAGGACGAGGTGCTGCACAAGTGGGAAGAGGAAAAGGCGCAAAATTTTATTTTATCGTTCCTCCATCTTTTCAGATTCAAAATTGAGTAATTTAAGGAGAATTGTTA